AAAGGGAACAGAGTCTGGAAAAGGTTCATGTTGGTAATGAGTTCACTGTAACTCTTAGCAGCCCTGGGAGCGTGGGGCAGATGAGTCTCGCCAGGTGGAGGAGGCAGAGTGTATAGTTGGAGGAGCCCTTCACAAGGCCAAGTCCCCAAAGTGATTCAAACTCAGAAACCATTCAGCTGGATCTCTGGATTCAATAACTTTTTTTTTTTTTTAAAGATTTTATTTATTTATTTGACAGAGAAAGACACAGCAAGAGAGGGAACACAAACGGGGAGTGGGAGAGGGAGAAGCAGACTCCCCGCCGAGCAGGGAGCCCGATGCGGGACTCGATCCCGGGACTCCAGGATCATGACCTGAGCCGAAGGCAGTCGCTTAACCAACTGAGCCACCCAGGCGCCCCTGGATTCAATAACTTTTAAAGAGCTCAAAAATGAATCTGTAAACAAAAGTCAGAATAAGATCAAAAGGGGAATGAAGTCCTCTAAAGCAGCGTACTAGGACCAAGCAGGACTAGTGCATTAGAAACGTCAGGAGCAGACACGGCTGAAACAGAATCATGGACACGGAGAAAACTCTAACTAACCGGAGTGAGTACAGACAGGTAACAAAGGAGAACGGCATTAAGACATTTACAGAGAAGCTAATGATTGGAAACGAAGATGCATCAGAGATAAAACCCACCCATAATCATTGCCCCTAAAGTAGAAAACTCAATACATTTTCAAAATCAGAAGTTTTCAAAGGTATAATACAGGAAGTCCAGCAATTCTTTTCAGCGTCATTCTGTCTCCATCCGTGTGTGAGCTGGGTATAGCTCCCGGACTTCGGCAAGTCTGGGGCACGGACAGGCAGAAGGGGTGGCCTGCGGTGGGGGCCATGATGGGCCCATCGAAGTCCGCGAAAGCCACACCGTGAAGCGCCGTGTCTACCAGGCTCAGGAAGTTTGACTTTTCCTATAATATAATGGGCTGGGGGAGGGGGGGCAAAGGATCTTTAACCAAGATGGAGAGATGGTCATGCGTGGATTTTGTAAGGATCATTCTGTCACTTTGGCTGCACCGAGTGTTGTCATCCCTCGAAGTAACATGACTGGAGGTGCTCTAGCATGTAGGTGATGGTCAGGATTGGCCTAAGATCCTGATCTTTGCCTCAGGTTTTTAGATCTTTACTCCAGATTCTTAAACACTGTTTGCTACATACTTGCACTACAAAGTAAACTGGGCATAATCATTCTCTTGTTCCTGCTCAAACCCACTGCTAAGTGGAGTCCTAGTCTTCGGAGATGCCAGGGCCAGAAACAGGAGCGGGCCCCGCGGGTTTCCAGGCTGTGCTGTTGGCAGGTGCATCCAGGACAGCCGCCCCTGGCTCCCAGAGCTGAGAAAGGCAGGAAGGGCCGTGGGGTGTGTTGGGCCTGCCTGCCGCCCTCCCTTCCCTTCAAAGAAAGTCCTATTTCTTTAGGCTTCGGAGAATGTCATCTAAAATTCTTTCGACGTCAATACTGGCATTCAATAATCCTCATTATTATCAAGTTATTCCTTGCGGAAAATGAACGTGCCTTTCCCACTGCCTTTCATCCTTTCTCTTGTTATATCTTCTTTAAAGAAGGTCAGTGACAAATCTCTTTTCTTATCATAGCCTCTAACATCACCAATGGGGATAAATCACCACGGCTTTCTCTCTTCCAACCTAAACAGTCCTTGTTTTAATGCTCCTGCAGAGGTCTGATTTTCCATCCTTTGTATCTTTTTTTTTTAAGGATTTTATTTATTTATTTATTTATTTTTCTGACACAGAGAGAGAGAGACAGCGAGAGAGGGAACACAGGCAGGGGGAGTGGGAGAGGAAGAACAGGCTTCTGCGGAGCAGGGAGCCCGATGCCGGACTAGATCCCAGGGTTCTGGGATCATGACCCCAGCTGAAGGCAGACACTTAATGACTGAGCCACCCAGGCGCCCCCGTCCTTTGTATCTTGATCTTTCATAAAATAGCTTCCGATGTTGTACAGAATAATGAAAACAAACCTACAAAAGAACACTGTGCTGGAATTATGTTCAGGGTCTGGAAAACAACAATTCTGTAAATATAGGCTGGCATCATTACTATGTTTTTGATCAAGCTAAACTTATCACTTTATTCCACTTGTACTTTATTAGGAACCCCCCTTTCGAAGTCCCCGGAGATTTGGAGTGTGTGCAATGTGAACGTTAGAGGGCCCATTTGAGGTCTACTTGCATTTGAAAGGGTTCCCATCACGGGTCCCTCTTCTGCTGCCGCTGCCAGCCCCGCCCTGCGGGACACCACCCCGTCTCCCAGAGTGTCACCAGCATCCAGCTCCATTCACCGCCTGGCAGGCTGGCGCGTCCCTGGATGCTGATGGCTCCCAGGCTCAGGGGGCGAGCCTCGTTCAGTGCAAACTCCCTCCCCAGGGACCAGGATCACAATGGTCAGGGACCTGGTTCTGGTCCGTGGGAGTGAGGCCCGGCTGGCTGGGGGTAGGTGGCTCTGGGACCGTTTGCATCCCTTCAAAAAGTACCCAAGGGTGAGAGACTATCTTTATTGGATATTATTATGGGAGGATATACCTTATGGGGCCCTACAACCATCTTATAAACATGAGGGGACAGGTCTGAGAGAGAAAAACCAAGATGCTGAGGGCTGCGGAGTAGAAGGTGAGAAGGTCCTGGGCCCCTGATGAGGCCAGGTAGCTGCCTAAGTAACCCAGCCCTGCACCCTTGTTACGGGAGATAATAAATCCCTTTACTGTTCAGTGGTTATCAAAATGCGGTCCCAGACCGGCAGCCTCAGCATCTCCTGGGACGTTCCTAGAAATGCAAGTCCTTGAGCCCCACCCCCCAGGTGACTGAAAAGAAAGTCTGGGGATCCATCATCCCATGATCTGGTCTCACAAGCATTTGATTTGATTCCAATCAGCCCAAGTGCTGGAGAACTGGCATCAGCCATTGCCCTGGGTTTTCTATCATCTGCGGTAAACTCTATCCTCATGAATACTTGTACCGTGTTGCACACCTCTTTCCTGGGAAATGCAATCAATTTGATGTTTTTGTTTTATGTGGGGGTCACCAGGGAATCTGTGACATCTCAGATGCGAAGGCTGAAGAGAGGGGGCTCGGGCCGCCCAGGTAGGGCTCTTGAGGTGTAAGGAATTTTGTGGCAATTTAGAGCTTTTAGCGTTCCCATCCTGGATGAAAGGAGCGGACTCTGAAAAAGAGGAAAAGAAAACCCAGGAAGCACAGCTCGGGTCAGAAGAGCCCAGAACTCTCTCTACATGTCGTGGCAAAGGCCATGAGTCACTCGAGGGCTGAGGAAGATTCAAGGACATCGTTTTAGCACGTAATCAGGGAGGTACTAAGGACAAGCAGGCACGAAACTGCCCAACAGCTCAACAGCGTCCTTTGGAGAGGCGAGAACGAGCTGAAGAGCGGAACAGAGCCGGGCTGGAGGAGGAAACCCCGGCCAGATCCTGGAGGGGTGGTCACGGTGCCCAGCTGCCAGTCAGCGTGCGAGGCCACGCAGCCCTGTCTCACGGATCACTGCCAAAGCGAGAATCGGAACCTTCAAGTTCCACCGAGTTGTATCAATCAGGGAAACGCGGGAGAGTTGCGCAGGGGGGGCAGTGATGGAAGAGACACACTGCACATTTCAAAGGAGCAATTATCCCCTTTGTCCTTCAAGCGGGGCATCACAGCGTTGCTATAAGTCATGCTGGCTTCACTCAAATGCTAGCACACCTCGTCTCTTCAAGACCTCCGTGCACCCGCGAGTGAACAGCCTGCCCCGTAATGTCTGACCAGGGCCCGGGGTCCTGCAGGTCAGCTCGGATCCTGGACTCTTGCGGAGGATGCCAGGCCAGGAGACCGTGAGCGAGCCGTGTCCTGCAAGCTCACTACTGAGACCATCCGCAGGTCGGAATCACTCTTCCCAAAATCAATAGAGTGGGATCTCCATCCTTCACATCATTCTGTTCTATGAAGCTTAGCCTTCTCCTCAAAGTTTCTAGATCAGTTTCGAGCAAACGCTTCTGGCAATTTGTGGATCTTGGCAACGACTCCCCACTTCATTTGTAATCAGCTCTTTTGAGTAAATCCATTTGCCGATTCCTACTCTATGGGACTCTCCTAGAATGGCAGCTATGACCTGCTTTTTCACTAAAATAAGTCAGATTTCACAGGCATCAAGCCTGGGAGACCATGTTCTCCTCTGTGGCTAACGGGAGACCCCGTGTAATCCGTCCAGCTGCGAATGGGCTGCCCTGCCGCCTCCAAGTCCCCAAACACCCCACACAGTGTCCACCAGCCTCGTGACCTAAAAGCCAACATTTAAAATCGTCATCCAAACTGTGCTGGTTCTATTTGCTCAAAAGAGGTGACACCCACGTTACTGCAATCCTGTAATGTTAGGGTGAAGTGGAGGGCAGAAAAATGACTTCCAACAAGGAGGTAAAGTTGTTCTCGATAAAAATCAATAGTCATCATTTTTATATTTTCTGCCTCCTGAAGTGCACCTGCCGGCTGCCGCAGTGACCCTGCCTGGATGCATCGGTCCACCCCTCCCACGTGTGCATCCCCGGGAGGAGGCAGGGCCAGGAGCACACGTGTGCCGATCGGCCTCGACCCCGGCTCCTGGGCTCAGAGATATGGTCCCTGCGCTCCGGTCGCGTCATCTGTAAAACGAGGATGGGGACTCCTACCACCTTGGTTGTTACGGACTCTGAAGGAGCGAGTGTTGGTACAGCACTCAGAACAGCATCTGGCCGGCCCACTGTAAGCAGTCTGTGTTTTGCGAAGTCAGTAACATCTTTGTTTGCTTAATACATTTCCTTTTCATAAATTCTGTCATTTGGGGAATATTGTTGGGTTTCCGGGATTAAAACATTTAAATTAAGAGGCATCAAAGCAATTTCAAGAGCCTCGTGTTTACTTTTTTACTCTCAGACAGCAGGAGTAGAGTGGCTTTATGTGAGACTCAGAATCCATGCAGAAGAAGATATCCTGAAGGCTTTATTCGTTTCATAAATAGTGTATTTTATTTTATTGCATATGGCTGTTAAGGAGAGCATCCATGATCAATACAGACTGAGTACAATGCACTATTCTAGGTCCGTTTACTGTTGTTTCCAGCAGCGTCACATCGACCCTTATACACGGTGCGCACAGTGGAAGACAGAGCAAGATAGGTAAGTCTCTTGTCATATCACAATAGCAAGAAATATATTTAACATCTCGAGATCCAGAAACAATACGTACCCAAAAAGAAAACACTGTTTAATAACTGTTAAAGTTTATATAGCAAAAAATATTTTAAATTTAAGGTAAGTCAGGCAAAATGTACAAAGACCCAATATACATTGTGAAGTTTTAGCAAACATAACATTTATACATTTTGGTTCCATTCTGTAAACTAAATTAAAAATGTAAATATTGCATATGCCTTTTTTTTTGAAATGTACAGGATAGAGGAAAATTTAGTCTATTATCAACTTTTTATTCTGCTTGTTGTAAGCTGCAGTATGAACGGGAGCCACGCATATGGTGCCAAGACTACTCTAAGCATAGAGCCCTACTTATATATGCCATACACACACCGTACCCAGCAGGGCCCTCACTCGGTCCTACTGAACTGGGGGGGCTGCGCAGCAAACACCAGCCATCGATTCCGAGTCCCAAAACTAAATCCGAACTTCAGGACATTTTATACATTTTCATAAAGTATACGTATCATACACTGAAATTGACCTTCAAACTAACATCATATGGTCTATACACTGTTGCGACGTGTGATTTTAGAAAAGTAAAACTTTAAAAATGTTCTGGGGGATCACTTTACATTCAACTTTGTCTCGCAATACAATCCTCTGTTCTAAAAGTTCAGCATGGAAGCAGGAAGACTTTTGCATTGCCATTAAATATATTTTTAAGACATTGAATTTTTTGGTCTTCCTCTAAAAAAGCCTCATTTTATTAATGCATTATTCTATAGTGATATATATCTATATATTTATATATATTTTTCTCCCAAAAAAAAAAAAAAAAACTCACATCTCCAATGAATTAGCGTAACCTCTACAGGACTATCCGAGCAGACAGGCACTGCAAACGTGCCCGTGGGAGGGGGGTCTGCAGCCCTCCGCCACGTGTCAAGGGGGCAGCGAGGTGACATGACATTCTGCTGGTCAAGGTCAGCAGTTCTAATCACCACAACACTGGTATCTTCAGAACACTGGAAACATAAAATGAGGGTAGTCTCGTCAGGAACTGTTTTAACAAGTCAGATGTACTGTGAGGTTTTTTTTGTCTCCTTTTTCTTCTTCCCTTAACAACACAGGGGCCGGAATAGCTCTTACACCGAGTTCTTTGCTTCCCTTGTCTTTTTTGGAGTTTTTGTGTTTTTTTATTGTTGCTCAGGGCAGCCCATTGGCCCACATGATACCATCAAGTGAAGACAATACATTTTTTTTTTTTTTAAATCTGCCAAAGCCGTGACCACCCTTGGATCGCTAGCATGCCTACATGAATTTTTGGTTAAAGAAATGCAAGCTCAAGATTAAGGATAGCAGAGACATTTGAGCTTGTAAATAGGTTCAAAGGCTTTTGCAATTTGAAGTACCTACATAAACATCTACATAGAGAAGATGAAACAAGTCTGTTAAAGGTAAAAAGAGATATTCACCCCCTGCCCCAACCCCCCTCCCACCCCCACTACCCAATGTAATTGATGATTTTTCAAAAGTAGGTTGCTTCAGTTACACATAATTATTATTATTTATTAATCCATCTTCGAAGTCCAATCCCAAATTGCATTTCTGTTGAGAAATGTCAGTCCCACACTGGGCTCTGTCTGAGTAAACACGCAGGTACCTGGATTGGAGTCCACGGAGCAGCTGTGTCCTGGGGCCAGTTAATAAGGCTGAAAGGCCGCACTCGAGACGCACTCAGCAGAGATGCGCAGGAGGTCCTGCCAGCCCCCGGCCACGCAAATCCGGCTTTACCTGGAACTGAGGTAGGACTGTGGTAGTTTTGAGTGCATGCCAGTAAATGCCAGATTTTACCACTTTCATGGGTATTGGTAGAATCTCCTAGCATGCTGAGGGATAAATTTGCTTTGCTAAAATGAAAGTAAGAAGAAATTAAGACACTGGCCACGATCTAAATGACCAATCGGAACATCCAATTTTCTTGAGAATAACTTCTTCGGTGACTTTTGTCAACAAACAAACAAAACACAGCACAAACAGCAGAATGATGAATTTCCCCCACCGCGGGAACCAGGAGAGGGGCAGGTGTCCTTGCCTTGTTGGTTCAGACTCTAACACGGTCGCAGATGTTCCAAACCCTAGTCGTTGCTCAGATCCAAAAGAAAACTGTAAGCAGCTTCAGATTAAAAAAAAAATAAAAAAGCAACCACGCTGAGCATCTTCTTCTAATGTCATTCTCTGATGTGTGACGTCATGTTGATAAAGCCAGACAGATCCTCACTCTGGAAAAGAAAGGGAAGAAGTCAGTGGTGACAGGGGTCACAGGAACAGAGCCATCTCGAGTGAGAGAGGAAGTCGTGTCACTCCCAAGCATGAGGCGAGCGCTCTGGTGAGGCCCCGGCTGGGCTGGACGCAGAGGCAGGATGCGGCCCTTGCCCTCGGGGACAAAAGCCCTGGAGCTAGCAGCCGGCCTGCTGCCCGGGGCCCGGCTCTCGGTGGGGGCTGTGGGGGAGAAAGCTCACGAGGGGACGGACGCCAGGGCCCGGGGGCGCGTCCTGGAAGCCGTGCCATCGGGGGTTGACGGGAACACGGGACAGGCAGTGAGTCTGAATTCTGCCTCGGAAAACCCTCCCAGTGGATCGTGTATCCCCTTCCCAAAGCGACCAGGCCCACACACTCGCTCCTGCAGCGACCCGCTTGTCATCCCAGACCCTCCTCATCTGCCCCGCTGCCCCGGGGCCAGGTTAGGTCACCTACCCCCATGAGCCTGGTGGTGACAAGCCATTAGGACCAACCCACTCCAATGGCTTCCTGCCTTCCAGGCCCAAGGATCAAACTTCTTCGACCTGTCCCCAATCTCCATTGTTTCCAGCATGTTTTTACTTCACTAACTGCCCGTTAAAGAACATTAACGGACAGACCGAGTTGGGAGATTGACATTTCATAGCAAACTGCCTTTCGTTTTAAGCTTCTTGGCCTTTTTTCTTTTTTTTTAGATTTTATTTATTTTGGGGAGAGAGAGGGCGTGATAATGAGCACTAGCAGGGGATGGGGGGTGGCAGAGGGAGGAGCAGACTCCCCGCTGAGCAGGGAGCCCGACGCAGGGCTCGATCCCAGGACCCTGAGATCATGACCTGAGCCGAAGGCAGACGCTCCACCGACTGAACCACCCAGGTGCCCAAAGTTTCTTGGCTTTTTGATCAAAACCCCGAGTGGTTCGTCTGCACCCCCCGGAGTGGCGGTGGCTGGGCCACCCTGCTGGCCACGCCCTGCCCTACACAGGGAGGGGCTCTTCCCTGGCACCTGCGTGCACACGACCCTGCACTTCCGAGTACTGCTCTCATATCATTACAATCCCTCCTCGACCCTCCCCACGCTCCCTGGTTTACTTCACGGTGAAGCCAATTCTCTTCCGTCCACCTTGAGTTCAGGGGCCCGCTCCCGGCAAGAGAGGATTTCCAGAGGACCCTGCAGCCAAGAATGAGCAGCTGGATGCCCTGGTTCCAGCTCCGAGGGCTGCATCCCATGTGCGGCCAGAAAGACAAACTCCTGGACAGACAAGCGCTGTCAACGGTCAACATGCAAAATAAACATCATACCTTTTCATGACTGGGTTGTTGTAAGTTCCCCACGATGTGCTATTTCGGAGCAGTGCTACCGTATTTTATTATTTTTAAAAAGCCTTATGTCCTCTAAAAATTTTAATCCGCAAACAGTTCCCCAAAGCAGAAACAGGGGCCAAGTTTTGTCCCGGGGAGAGACGGGCCCCCCGGCTATTTCAGCATTGTCCCCGCCAGAACCCATGTGAGGGCCCCACCCCAGACATTTGCATCCCTTAAATAGCAGGTGTTTGCTGGAATCCACCTGGACTTCCACTTCTCCCCAAGATAAGAGTCTGCGTTTTGTCACTGAGGCCCTGAGTGGGAGACGAATTCCCGGCGAACCCCAAGCAGGTGGTCAAGACGCCCTGGATCTGCTGACACGAAGATCTGGGGTCACAGTTTATTTTATTTTTACTCTAATGATTAGCTAAATGAGGCAGAATTGTCTCCTGTTAACCCTAAACCCATTATCTGGAAACAGCTAAGCAAGTCAATTCCTCAATCTCCCAAGTTTACACAGTCACAAAAATGCGGGTTAGCTGTTCCTGAGAATGCACCCCCCACTCACCCTGGCCACTTTCGGGGCACGGCAGCCGTGTGAACTCCACATGGAGGGCATGCTCCATGCCAAGACCCGGCTCCCACCATTAGATCTTCGGGAGCTCTCATCAAGGTAAACATGGAATTTTAGCTTTTGGAAGGTAAGTAAATACACAACAAGTATCAAAACCTTCATTTCTGCGCTTTGTCGTGGTGGGAGGAGCGTGGAGAAAGGCAGGGTCACCTTTCATTCATGCATTTGTGCACGCACTGATTTCACAGGGCCAGGGCACCTGAGGGTGCTGATGGGTGAGGGGGAGCCCCCAGGCAGGGAGCTGAAGCAGCCGTCCAGAGCTCGGCTCCCACACACGCTAGCCAGGGCCCTGAACGTGAGCACAGGAGGGGCGCGGCCAAAGGAAAGCGGCGGGGGCTCAGAGGATCCAGAGGCAGCGGGGTCCCAGGCTTGGAACCCAGGGCAGCCCCCCCGGAAACCCCTCACTGCACCCTGCTCTGCTCTGCTCAGCTCCCCCATCCCCAGAGCTGGCGGATGCTGGTTCCTTTGTTTACTGACTTTTAAATTACGTTAAATGATCTCTCCTCCTGAAAATTAATCTGCTTCATCCAGACTAGGAAAAAAAAAAGTCTTCTCACACTACTAACCTGACATCCTCGCCTTTAAATATTTATGCTTTCTAATGGTGATTCTGGCAAAATTTTGTGTGCTTTATTATCTACGTTAATTCTAGTAGAAGCAAAGTACAAATTATTAATTTTATGATCAATCCACACCGAATATTCATTAGGATGGGAGACACTCCTTGAACTCATTAGGTGTAGCGGCCAAACAAAAAAGAAACATCAAGAATCACACGTTGTTCATGAATGCGATTACCAAGGTGTCTGGATTCTGTCCTGGAGGAAATGCGTCTCAAAATAATTTAAACTTATTGGCATTCATGGAATTTGTCATATAATCACACGCAGTACCGGTCTGTAGCTTAGACACTGCTTTGTAAAGAAACCCATTCACAGAAGCACTGATCTAAGGCAGCTGATTTAAAAAAAAAAAAAAAAAATTTGCATTAACAAGATTTAAGTCATTCCACTGGACGCATCACCCTGGCCAGCTACACCCCATCTTGCTCTGTCACGTGTGACAAATGATGGCCGCACGAAGGACCGTTTCCACGTGCCAGGTATCCTCACTCCTGGGTGGGGGGGGATAATTCCATGCCTTTTCTCTTCCACTTAAAAGAGCAATCAGAATGCAAGGGAGCGAGCACCCTCATTAAAGACCCCACCTTCAATCTGCTCTTTACAAAAAAAAAAAAAAAAGAGGAAGAATCAGAAAGAAATAGAAAACAAGTCACTGAAAACCTTGTCATGGAAACAAGTGGGAAGCCTCCTTTGTCAGGAGCAGCACAAATATCGAAACACCGACATGCCTGCCGCCGGTTCGCCGGGCTCCGTGATTCCAAATACGAGCGTGGAAACGACAGTGGGCATCAGGTCTAGAACGTTCCAGGGATAAATCGGGGAAATCTGCACTGGCAAATAAATTCAGGCGGCATCTTCGATGCACATTCTGACTCATGACATTTTCATTTTGATTTCTCACGGGTATGTGGGTTTGGACGTGTCTGGCTTCGTGGCCAATATTTCAGTGTCCAGAATTCCGCACACAGCCCTGAGGGGTAGCAAGTCTGCCCAGGAAGGCCCTGGTTCTCTCTGCAGAGAGCCTCATGGGTCCCACCCCGCGTTCCGCGTGGAGCCCCGGGGAGGGCTGGGGGGAGATGTGCGTGGGGCCCCACGCAGACAGAGCCCCACACCCGACTCCACGGTGGGGGGCGCTCCCAGCACAGCGGCACGGACCGCACCCGAGAGAGCTATAGCCACACTTAGTGGGCGAAAATGACTTAACCCTTGCAGGCACAAAAGGAGTGGCCGCAGATAATCCTTGCGTGACAAACGAAACAACATACTTTTCAAAATTAAAACCTATATTTCCAGCGGCAACTATGATTAGGAAGAAAGAAACCTGCAATGAGCCCAGACATGTCCTTTGGCCCATTTAAACCTTTGATGTTAAACATAGACTTACAAGAGAAAATAAACTTTTCAGTTACATGAGAAATTCCTAGAAAAAGAACCCTGATAATACAGTATCTCCTTACTTGACTAAAAGCAAAACACTGTCCAATATACCAGAAGAAAAAAAAAAAAAAGTAAGGCGAAGTGTGATAACAAACAAGCCAGAGATTCTAAGAAAAACGGTTACTTGAACTTTTCATTTAAATAGGAGAAAAAAATAACTTAAAAGGAAACTAGGGAAGAAGTTCCCCAGGACAAATGGGGGCCGTAAATTACTTTACCAACCCTACTCATGAAAGACTTCAAACTGCCTGTTACATGAGATCACCTTTTCCACGGACAGGTAAAATCATTCCATCCTGAGTGCTTGCTGTTGAAGAAATGTCCCAGCACCAAGTTGTAACCTGATGGAAATGACGCAGCGCGGACCGGCACGAGAAGGTCTAGCCCTGGGAGGAGGCTGGGGATCATAGAAGGCGGCGGCTTCTCCTTCTCCGTCAGCTCCCGTTGAATCGTTCCCGTAAGACCCTGCGTTAACCACTGCACACTAGAGCCCTCAGGGGCCCCGGCCCAGGGGGCCCGGCCCCGCACCTCTCCCCGCTTCCCGAGCCACAGCCGCCCACAGGGGCTGCACTCACTGCTTAGTGCACGTTCTCAGCACACTCACACCTCCAGTGTGCGTTTCATCCCCATGCTCATTGTTAGGGAGCCTGACGCGCACACCCTACTAGCTATTCTTCCATGGCAAGAACGCCCCCCCATACATGGGGCAGCAGCTAGCGACAGCGTAGGAGAAACAGGATTATTCTTCAGTACAGACGCCCAATGGGCAACATACCCCCTCAATTCCTGGCAGACCCCCTCTTAAATCATCAACGGTCAGACCTTCCTAGGTACCAACCAGACGAGGGAGCATCAGTGACTGGTCAGCAGTGAAGGACGGACTTTCACTGCCCCCAGGGCTCCCCTTACAAATGGGGCAGTCACCGTCCATTGCTACAAATAAGGACAGAGGGGTAGGGTTCGGGCGGGGAGGAGAGGTCTGCGAC